AATAGTCCCAACAATATTAAAACAAATTTACATCTTTTAGTCTTTTGGGTTCTGGAAGCAGCATATTCCTCATTCACAAATTTTTAAAGCCCATTTACACTGCTACTTTCAAACTGGCCCACACAGAATGAGTTACAACAACTAGATTCTCTCCAAATAGCAATGCAGCCATCAATTACATTAGTTTCCCCCTTCTTCCTCCAGATTCCTTTTCTGTAGCTCCTCCTCCAGTATTCCTGGAAACTGTGAACTACTCACAATGACCAAACTGCCCATAGGCTTTCAATGAAAAAAACTGTCCACCTTGGTCATAAGCTATACATTATGGGAACAGGAATTACAAGGCAGGTGTCCTTAAACATCTACATAAAAATTACAAGTAAAATAATACCTAGGTGCCAAAATTAGTGACAGAAGAGGTATAAATAAAATCATAAAAGTTTGAACAGGATTTTTTGAAAGGATTGCTCTGTGTTGAGGATACCTATGACTGAGTTCAGTAAACAGAACTGAGCAGTTGTGTGAAGCACTGTCCAAGGTATGTGGGATACAATAATGGAAAGATAGATGTGTTTTAGAGATAACTCCTTAATTTTAACTTTTATAGCTCACTATCCTCAGTTGGGAAAGTAGAAGAAAAATGAGAAGTTAAGACTGGAAAAATTGACTATAGAAAAATTGACTATCATGGAGGCGAAGAAGTATTTCATGGTTTAGAATGGGCATTGAATATTATCAAATAGTTCTTACTACAGCTTTTTGCCCTCTAATATACATATCATAAATAGTATCTATTGTTATGGAGACACCAAGGAAGAAGAAGAGAAGTAATAAAAGGTCTTGGCTTATTTAGGACCATAGCATTACCCATGATGGGAGCTTTTATTTTTCACACTTATTTATTTACTTTAGAGAGAAAGAGACAGAGAGAGAGAGGGGTGGGGGAGGGACAGAGGGAGAGGGAGGGAGAGACTCTCAAGTAGACTCCCCCTGAGTTTGGAGCCTGACACAGGAATTGAGCTTATGACCCTTAGATTATTGGAGCCAAAATCAAGAGTCAGACACAACCAACTAAGCCACCCAGGCAGCCCTGTGATGGGAGATTTTTTAATTCAGGTTATACATCTTTCAATCATATGTATGTTATAGAGATTACTGGTAATCCTGAGAAATGAATTTTCTAAATAGTAATTTGCAATATTTAAGGGTTAATATTTCTCTAAAGCATACATAACTCTTTTGAGTTGTAATATACAGAAATGTATTTCAAGTATTTAATGAAATTGCCTTAATTATGTCATGTTTCTTTGACAATGCTACTAACCAATGTCACTAACACCATTTTTTTCATTGTTTTTCTTGTGAAGTCAATGTCCACTTTCTTTCATTGTGTAGTAGTGAAATGTTTTTTATGTTCTCTGAAGATAAAACATTTTTTTCTTCTCCTCAAAATAATGCTTAAGTCTTTTTTTAAGGTGGAGTGATAATATCAGCATCAGAATTATTATTGTACATTTTGTAATTACTTTTTTTGTAAGTGTCAAGATACTTTTTTACTAAAATTTACTAAAATTTTACTAAAATTTACTAAAATAGTTAATTTTATCTGTTGTAATCCATACACTGATGTGTGTCTAATAGATCAGAATAAAAGTCTGGCCCAAATTTAGACTGATTTCATCATCATTAATTTGTGGTTTATAAGGAAACTAAAAAGTGGTTTTCCTTAACCAATTCATTCATTTTATGTCTAGGAATAACGACATATAAGAACATATTTGCTTTTACATAAAACACCCTTTTGGGTTGTCTATGTTTAGGTTTTCTTATATATACATACTTATATATGTGTGTATAAAGAATAGTTTATATACCTGAATAGCTTTAAACTGTAAAACAGACTTACAACAAGCAAATAATCAATACAGGAGCACTGAATAACCACAGAGGGTTAACAGGCCCAGAAAGGTATTCCAAAGGTTTATGTTATTAAAATCATACTTTCATTGCCAGTTTTGTTCCTCTTCACAGTTCAGTGGTTTTTTGTTTTGTTTTGTTTTAAATTTTATTTTATTTTTTTTTTTTGGTGTTCCAAGATTCATTGTTTATTCACCTCACCAACCGCTCCATGCAATAGGTGCCCTTCATAATACCCACCACTAGGCTCACCCAACCCACCACTCCCCTCCCCTCCAAAACCCTCAGTTTGTTTCTCAGAGTCCACAGTCTCTCATGGTTTGTCCCCCAGTTTTTCCATCATTTTCCAGAATTATAGGAATACACAGCCTAAGGCAATGTTTTCAACCATGGGTATACATGTATGAGGCAGATCCTACACACTGTAGGGTAAGTCAGGGACAGTATCATTCTATCATCTCCAGTATTTTACAGTCCAGAAAAAAATGACCTAAGCATACGAGTTTATGGAAAACTATTACTGTGATTCTAATAGGCATAGAGCACAATTTCACCATGCTCCATTTTAAACACACACATATCTCACACACACACACACACACACACACACACACACACACCTCTTTTCTGTTGAGAACTACTTCCCTAAAGCATATGCAGTTATGGATAAATGAGCTTGTGGAAAGAAAATTTCTATGCTATATGTAATGTCTTAATTAAAGAACAAACACAATGTAAGACTTGGAAGTATAAATATGCAATTTCATCTTTAAGAACCTATACAAAACAATATTATTGATCTAAGTATACTGTTGCTTGCATATCACCACTCCTTTAAAAAGACCTAGATGACCCAAATCAACTTTATAATTTTCCATTTGGTTCTGATTATTTTGTAGACTTTAGCAGCCATTCAAGGAGCTGTGAATGAAGGCTTAATTCACTTCCCACGGCAATGCAAAGTGAAGGAATGATTTCCACGCAGCTTAAGATGTTAAGTGGACAGAAAGCCATGACTATGCAGTTAAATTAAATCAAACAGATTGGATGCATTTAAACAGCTTCTTGCTAATAAGTATGCCATTGAGATTCTAATTAAGTTAGAGTAAGTAAAAAATGCAAGTAAGAAATGTTTTCCTGGGGATGGAAATGCACAAGATAAGGATCAGAGCCAGAAAATTTTATTTATTTTATTTTATTTAAAGATTGTATTTATTTATTTGACAGGGAAAGAGATCACAAGTAGGTAGAGAGGCAGGCAGAGACAGAGGGGGAAGCAGGATCTCCGCTGAGCAGAAAGCCTGATGAGGGACTCGATCCCAGGACCCTGGGATCATGACCTGAGCTGAGGCAGAGGCTTAATCCACTGAGCCACCCAGGTGCCCCAGAAAATATTTTAAAAGAATTGTAAAATAAGGTAAGAAAAAAGATTCAAGAGTAAAATTTCTGTAAGAAAGTGAAAGAAAATGACAAATGAGCTCAGACTTATGGAGTGTGTGTGTGTGTGTGTGTGTGTGTAAAATAGAGTGTATTTGAGGTTAGTGGATATACCTATGTTTGACCAATGTCACAAGGTATTTATTCAAATTACAAGAATCATACTATTATATTATTTACAAATATAAGTGTATTGAAACAAATGTTTTCTAAGGGAATACCATCCAATCAAAATTGTATAGCACAGAAAATTAATGAAATAGGATCTGTGTTACTCCCTGTAGTTTGCCCCAGAATTGTTTGCCATTAGCTGTCTGTGAACAATTAACACATATTTGCTCCTTTTTATAATCTGTGAAGTGATAGGGGTTCCTGGGTGGCTCAGCCATTAAGCGTCTACCTTCGGCTCAGGTCATGATCCCAGGGTTTTGGGACTGAGCCCTGCATCATGTTCCCTGCTCAGCGGAGCTCAACTCCCCTTGCTTGTGTTCCCTCTCTCACTGTCTCTCTCTGGCAACTAATAAATAAAATCTTAAAAAAAAAAAAAGGATTTGTGAAGTGGTAATTATATGTTCCCTATTTTGTCTTCACTTTGCTATGTGTTGAGAATAGACCATTTTACACACAGGTAGTAAAAGGAAGAGCCAACATTTAAACCTAGATCATCTGGTACCAAGTCCATTGCTCATGTGGTCAGGCAGAATAATTGAATAAATGATTTGTACCAGGAACAGGGACAGAAGGAGCATCAATAAAGAATGGCCAGTATATAGAGTAGTTTAAAATCTAGCAACAAGAAATTTGACTTGATATAGTAGGCATCAAACACCAACTATATGCATCATGCATCATGTGAACAAAGTAAGGAATATGGTCATTAATCTGTCTGTTCTATGTAAAATATTGAAGGGAAGAGAATTTAGATATAGTAAATGCACCAAGATGTACTTAAATTCAAGAAAAGGCGTGAAATTCTGATGTTAGCTTTCTGAGAAATCTTTCTTGTATGTTTACTGATGCATTCCAAGCATCTAGGTGGGTGCATTTGATGGCTAGTGGTTCTCGATAAATATTTATAGTTCTAGTAGATAATAAAATAGAGAGGATCTGGCAGAAAATGAGTATGTTCTTCATTTTTAAAACTTAGAAGGACAGAAAACACAAACTTGCTATCTATCAACATAGAGGTGATAATTGAAACCACAAGACATAGCAAGTGTTCTGAGATCAAGTGTAGAAAAAGACTGAAAGACTACAAAACACAACTTTAGTAAATGCCTGGTTAGTGTTCAAGTGTCATTTCCCATGTTGATTCTCAACCAAAGCATCTGAGGATCTCAAAACAGATGGTGGAAGAGAGATGTAGTTCAGAAATCAGTAGAGGCTGCTACAGTGAGAACTAGTGATTAAAAGAATCTCTGGTGTCAGATAGCGATAAATTCTAAAAACCACGTCTGCGGCTTCCAAAGTTTTTGGTATTGGTCAAGTTAACTTGTCTACATCTCTGCTTATTTCAAAACAAGAATAATATTGTCCGCCATATTGGCTTCTGGTGAGGATTAAATAAAATAATAGAGTGCTGAGCATTGTGCAGGGATCAAGCTAAAGGCTCTGGGTGAGACTGATTGCAATGAAGCTTAGCCTACCTTCAGGTGGTTAACGGAGTACTTTCTGGAAACTAAAGATGAAGTCCAGTCCTAGAAGGGAGACAAAGGCAGATTGCTGCAGCTACTTGGAGTCTTGGGCTCCATAGCCAATCCCAGGGACAATGGGTTAGGGAGAAGCCTTCAGATGAAGATCACATTGGCACCATCTAGAAATGAGCTGTTATAGGCAGAAACTGAACAGTAGAAAGAAGGGGGAAAGTTTAAGAAATAAATCAATAGAAACAGGTAAAATAGGTAAAGAAAGTAACTCATAATATGAAAACTGAGGAAAAGAAAATTTTAAGATGTAGGAGGTAATGAACCCTACTAAAGATTATATGATGTTTAAACAAATAAAAACTAATTTAAAATGCCACGGATTTTGGCTTAAAGATTTCTACTGACTGAAGAATAGGTAAGTATAGCAGTGGAGAAAAAAACTGTTGAAGATACTGATAAGGAATAAAATTGACAGCATATATGAACTTTTCTCAGAGTTAACAAGAGTAAGATAAGAAAAAAAAAAAAAGAATAATGGGGGTCCTGACTGCAAAGCATGCAACTCTTGACCTTGGGGTCATGAGTTCAAGCTACCCAGAGGGTGTAGCAATTACTCAAAAATAAAAAAAAAAAAAAATCTTTAAAAAAGAAAAAGTAGGAGAAAAAGGAAATCTTTTCTTGAGAACTGGGGAAAGGTGTATATTCAAAGGTAAAAGGAGAGAGTTGATGGAGAGGGAAACAAAAAAAACAAAACCAAAAACTAGAACTGGAAAGGATGGAAATTGTTGTAGAAACAATTGGAATTACAAAGATAAATGTCTTCATATCCAAACTACAATTAGAGGTTTTTCTTTTCTTCACAAAAAGGATTGTAAGAAAGGTTCTTATATTGGAAAACTTAAATTTCTCAGTAAATTAGAGGGGAGGCACTTCATTTACATAGGGAACCGAATGAAAGATGTGGAGACCTAAAATAATAACTATAAGAAAGAAATCAATTAGTGGGAAAAAGTTCCAAGAGTCAACTTGCAATTGGCTGCCATGATTCAGAAGTGAGCCACATTTTGCCTTCCTGCATCTGAGATGGTAAGTTAGAGACAAGAGGTGACAGGGACGTGTAACAGCTGAATAAAAGCAAAGAACATTTGAATCAACACATAGAACTGCAACATAGCCAAACTTACATCTAAAAGTTTCACTCCACTTCCCAACGTAAAGCTATAAATTTTTTAATCAAATGAAAATTCTGTTCTTTCTGGAGCATAGAGTGAACCCCAGCAAGTGTTTCTACCACTGTGGACCAGGTCCGGACTTATACCTGAGAATCCCTTTGGGAAAGACAAGGTGAAGTAACTTTGCTTGTGACACATTACTAAAATATTTTATGGAAAAAACGCATGCCAATTCAAGGCACTTGAGGTTGTATTTGTGCAGCTGGTCAAGTCAAATACTGGTATAAATTAAAAATTTAGAAATATATTTTGATCTCATTATAAAACATGTTCTAAAAAAGCAACAATAAAACTCTAAAATAAATTTCTCAAAATCAGTATGTGCCAGGGATATGTTCTGTTTTGATCTAAAATTTTAATTTCCTCAACCTGCAGGCACCCAGGGTAGCTGAAACCCAAGCAGCTTTGTGCCAAACAAGCATTACATTTCCAGTGTGGACCATGATGTGAAGTAGGTCAGAAAGTGCTTCTCTAAAGCATTATTCATGCAGCCCAAAGGGAAACTTCCTTGGTGAATATTTAGTAAATTCTGAAGGATTCAAGATATAATAAAACAAAATAATATATTGAAAAATATAATAGAGGTATAGCTCATAAAACAATAACTAAATAATTTAAGATGTTTAAAATAATTTAATGAACAAAATTTGTATTTATTATATGGATTCAAATCTATGATGTAGGCAACAGCCATTACATCAAAAATGTGGGTATTATGGATATAGAATTTTTCTCCAAAATCCAACAAGCTCAAAAACAGACCTGTACTTTTATTTTTTTCTTTTTCTTTTTTCTTTAAATTTTATTTTTCTTAAATCGAAGTGTACTTTTAGATGGCAACTTTGGCACATAAGCTTTCCACTTAATGGGCTAAATTCTATGATTGCTTTGACATTCAAAATGCAATTTTTAAAACGTTTATATTTGTAATAATTTCATCAATTATATTTATGCCCGGGAGTCTGTGTTAAGTGCTAAGAACATAATGACAATTATTTATCATGGTTTATATGAAGAAAATGGAAAATAAGATTAAAAATACAAATTTCATGATGGGATTGGGAGGGAGACAAACCATAAGTGACTCTTAATCTCACAAAACAAACTGAGGGTTGATGGGGGGAGGGGTGTTGGGGGGGGTGGTGTTATGGACATTGGGGAGGGTATGTGCTATGGTGAGTGCTGTGAAGTGTGTAAACCTGGCGATTCACAGACCTGTACCCCTGGGAATAAAAATATATTATATGTTTATAAAAATAAAATTTAAAAAAATAAAATAAAAAATAAATACATCAAAAAAATACAAATTTCATAAAGATAATATCATGGTTTCAGAAATATAATGTGTGTATACACACACAATATATTGTTAAGAATTTTATTTTTATTGTAACAAATCAATTATTAACCCAGGTCAATGTTATTAAACACTAAACTGACAGCTTCTTCATGACAATAAATTACAATTATTGAAGAATAAATTCAATGCTAAAAAGTGTGCTAGAGGAAGCACAAATCCTATTGTTCCTAGACCCCTTTCTAGGAGGACCAGCTTATATAGGAAGCGTAGGAAAAGATATGTTTCATATCACCTGACTGCCAGCCCTTTTTTAGTTTCAGTTGATTGCATTGAAGGTGGATACCCCACTCAAGGACAGACAGAAAATACACAGCCAGTAAGTGACTAGCAGCAAGTAACAACCAAACATATGATTGGACTAATATACAAACATAATGTGAAGACAAACAGGTAAAATGAACTTGCAATATTATTGGGAACATATAGACATGCTAACTTGAAAATAGAGTATTTATAACACTTCAGCTTAATTAATTTGTTTTATTTTAACATCTGAAGTACTGAATTTAATTGTTAATACTCTTTCCCTTTAAAAGCGTTGAATTTACATATTAAACTATTTGAGGCAAGGGAGACAAAATACTTACTTGTGATGCTATTTCTCGAGACTGACACAAAGGGAGGAAAAAAGAAAGACACAAAATACAGTTTAAACAATGACTAGATACATACAAGAAACAGTCAGCAACAAGGACAAAATACGACAAGTCCCCATTTAACACTTATAATACAATTAGGTGTTTCATTATTTATTACAGGGCTTCTGAATAAAATTAGATAAGGAATAAGTTGTTATTTTAAAAGTCTAGCAGAAAGTTCCTGTCAGATTATTTTTTGTCTGTTTAGTAAAATTGTCTCTAAAGGCTTTGATAGAAAGAAAAAATAGTACTGGTAGGGAAAATAAAACAATTGATAGGAGCTTATAAAGTTCATGAGAGAATATTTGACATAATTATTGGCATTCAATAACCATTATTGGCATTAATATTTGTATTGTGCTAAAATTTGGATTGCATATAAAATTTAATACTCACAAAAATTTAATACTTTTAAATTTAGATATTGTCATAAGACATAAATTTGTTCATAGATATATTCTGAGCTGTAAAGTCTAAAATTTGACCTTCCCAGTCACCATATAATCCTTAAATATTGAGAGGCAATACAAATCACGTTATCTTAGTCTTTAATTCTAAGGACTAATATCCTATTCATTTTTCAATAGGTAGAAATAAAATTTTCAGTTATATTCTTTGGTGTAACATAACTCAAATCTAACAAATTATCTAGCTCTCTGTTTATATAAAAAACACATAATAAACATTTGATTATAGGTTCCTTAAAACTGTTTATCTCGGGATTCTTAACACATGGCCCAAGAGAATAATAACATTGCTTGAGTGAATAATGGCAGAGAATGGGCAGCTAGAATTTCAAAACTATCCTATCTTAATCCTTATTAAAATAATTTTATTAACGTGATTTTGTAAAAAGATAAACTTACTTCAGTAATACATTTAAAAAGACTATGTTCCAGTTTAATAGTAAAGAGTTAATGATTGGTAGATGGGACAATGATTATTTCATTATATCACATGCTTTAAAGTTTTAGGATTTACTATTATGAAAGTAACCAACAATCACAGTAACATATTCCACAAATTTACTGTGTACATTGAAAAGATGTTGGTACTTTAATATGCTTTTAAATGATCTCTAATTTCTAGTAAAATTTTCAGCAGTTATGGAACACTTCAAGAAAATGTAACTTTCAATACACTGGAAAACTGGAGGTAAATACAGTTCCACATTTTCTTGCCAAAAAACCATAGGAACAAATATACTTATTAATTTAGAATTTATCAGATTTTGGAAAGACAGTATTATACCATATACTGTATGGTAGTCAACGTCCCTAGTGGGTCTTGGGTAGCAGCATTTCATAATTAAAAATAATAATATATCTGTGACAAAAAGTAAGAATATTCACTTTAAGTGGAGTAATATTAAAGTTTCAAATATAAAATGAGGTGAAATAAATTAGTGAGCTTTTTGGATTTCAGAATTGTGGATAAAGGACTATGGACAGAAGTATAGTTCCTCTTCGTTATCAAGAGCAGCATGAGTCCTCACACCTCCATCACTTTGAACCAGGAGATTCTGATGTTTATTTTTTTATTTTTTATTTTTTATTCTAATGTTTACAAAGATTTTCTTAAACTGACATATATAGATGGTGGTAGAAGCTCTGGGAAGGTGATATACAACCAGGTAAAAAGGGACAGGACCCAGCTGTACCCTACTATCCAGCTATATCCATGGACCGATTTTTTTTTTTTAATTTATTTATTTGACAGAGACACAGCAAGAGAGGGAATACAAGCAGAGGGAGTGGGAGAGGGAGAAGCAGGCTTCCCGCTGAACAAGAAGCCTGACGTAGGGCTCAATCCCTGGACCCTGGGATCATGACCCAAGCCAAAGACAGCTGCTTAACCACTGAGCCACCCAGGGCCCCTCCATGGACCGATTTTGAGTCACTGTATGCAACTCCACTTTATTCTTTATGTTTGTATGAATTCTCCTTCCACCAATATTCAGGCCACTGAAAAACTGAGATTATATTTCCAGGTCTTTGGTACTTTTTATAATTTCAATTATAAATATTCTTTATCATCATCTGTCCTCTCAAAGGTGTCTGCCCTAAGCATTTAGTGTTTCCCTACTCCCACAGACAAAGCTAAATAACGTTTTTTCTATACGTAGACCGTGAGAAGACGCTGAAGACAGACTAGAAAATGATGTGGCATGAAATCCTGCATCGGTCTTTAAATTGTATTTTTTTTAACTCCATAAAATAAAGGAACAAGGCCTAGTTTTTACCTGTGTTTATTCCTACCATGTTCTGATATGAAATGTAGGCAGTTAATAAAAAAATTATCCACAGAATAGGACAGATTTTAATACTTGAAATGTAATCTGAAAAAAATGATCAATGTCTAATGCAACTACCATATGACTATAAATCTATTAGTTGTTTTTATTAGCTACAAATACATTGTGATGTCAGAAAATGTTACGATTTGTTTTGAAAAATAGAGGCATCTAACATAATCATTTTTATTTCCCTAGGACACATCTACTTTTATCTCTTTCAGCTGGTTATATAAGTCTTTATCTTGGTTTCTCTGTAATAGGCTTAATTTAATTTTATTTTTTTCAGTTTCTGCCTTCATCTCTTCATTTCACACTCTGGAAGAAAAGAAATTAATCTTTTCCACCTGTTCCAGTACCTTTGCCATCTCTCATCATTTCAAAATTGTTCAAGTGTAATTCTGGTTAGATCAAAATTGAGGACATATCATGACTAAGTACAATTTACAGATGATCTATACAGGAAACATGGCTACTCTTCACTTCTTACATAAATGTCTTTGTTGTTGGTGGTGATAATATATTCCTGAAGTTAATAACTGTGTTATTTTTATAATTGCTTAATTATACCTGTACTTAATTCACCCGGAGATCTCTGGCAACTGTCTAATCTTTCCTTAAGACATTGAGATATGCAAGCTACTCTATAGATTTCATCTTCCTCAACAAATCTCTCTGAAACCTTCTAACCCATTCCAGGTTACCCTGATGTCTGAGGGTCTTTTCATTGCCATCGTAGGGATTTCCTTGGCTTCATATTTGTTGCCTGGATTCCATAAAGTGTCTGGTTTCCTCCATACCATGATTCCTTTTTCAGTGTATTCATTCTTTTTGGTAGGAGTAGTTTCCTCAGAAAGCAGGCATGGTAGAGCGTTTTTGGAGGCAATGCTGAAATATGATTTATCTTACTCTTACACAAGTTTGATAGGTTTGGCTGAATGTAGAATTATAGTTTGGAAATATTTCCTCAAGATCTTGAGGGCATTGCTCCATTGTTTTTTGTCTTACAGTGTTGCTGTTGAAAAATCCCAAATATATTTTGCATGTGATCTATCCCTGCCCTCTTCCTCCTGCATCTTCTCCTTTCCTTCAGTATTCTGAAATACTATGATGCTGTGTCTTGATGTGAGTCTGTTTTAATTCATTATAGTGGGCATTTGGTGACCCTTCCCCTTTGGAAATTAACACACTACTATTCTGGGATTATTCTTAAATTATTACACTGATATTTTGATGCATTCCTTCTCCATGGAAGTGTTATCATTCAGACCTTAGACCTCCTGGACTAGTCCTCTAATCTTATCTTTTCTTTACTGTTTCCATGTTTGAATTTCTGCTCTAGCTTCTTGGTGATTTCCTCAAATTTATGATATGAACTTCTTTTTACCTCTGCTATCATATTTTCAATTCCCAAGGTTTTCTTTTTCCTAAATGTTCTTTCAACAATTTAGTTTCCTGGGGCACCTGGGTGTCTCAGCTGGTGGAGCAACCAATTTGATATTGGCTCACGTCATGATCTCAGGGTGGTGAGATCAAGCCCCACATGGGACTCTTCATTGGGCACAGAGCCTGCTTGGGATTCTCTCTCCTTTCCCTCTGCCCCCTCACCTCCTCCCTCTCTCTAAAAAAAAATTAAAAAGATAAAAATTCAGTTTCCTGTTCATCTTTCATCCTTGCGATATCTTATTTTTTCTAATAATTTTAATTATAGTTTTTCAGTATATAACTTTACTAATATATATGACATATAATTTTCAAATATAAAATCCAGAGATATTTAGTAAACTTACCAAGTTGTATAATCATCACCATAAATCAGTTTTAGAATATTTCTAATACCCCAGCAAACCCCATCATGTTCATTAGCTGGTTCCCCATTTCCTCCACCTCCCCCTCACTTAAGGAATCACTAATCTGCTTCCTCTCTGCATACATTTACTTTTTATGACATTTCATAAACATGAAATAATACCATATGTGGTCTTTTGTGTCTGCCTTCTTTCATTAAACTTAATATTTTTGGAGGTTCATCCCAGTAACAGCACATATAAGTAGTTTCTTTCTATGGATAAACAGTATTCCATTGTATGGATATACCACATTTGGCTTATCTGTTTACTAGCTGATGGACATTTAGATTTTTTCCAAATTTTGGCTATTATGAACAATGCTACTAAGAACATTTGTATGCAAATCTTTGGGTGGATATATTTTTATTTCTTTTGGGTAAATATTTTATTTCATGTTCGAAATTGTCTTCTTCCTCAATGATCTGTGCTTTTTACGTGATTTTTCCTTTCTGTTTACTTTCTGCCTTGGTGGTTCATTTCCCAACATAGGGAATTTTTAGTTGTCTTCTCCTACTGAAGAGTAGGGGACTAATAAAATTTATTGAAAGCTCTGGGTGAGATTCTTTTTATTGGGTTTCATGGTGATCACTGGATTACTGAATGTCCCATGTCTACATCTTTAGGTATTTCACTTAGTTTAATCAGATTCCCTAGGGAAGATCTCTAATCTGCTGCTGAAGGGTACAGTATACAGAATATAACTTTCACTTAGTGCTCTGAATTTAGGGTGGTGTGATTGCCCTCAACTGTCCCCTCAATCCACAGAGTATCTATGTACTCTCTCCATAGAAACAAACCTTCAATCTTTGCCTGTGTGGAGTGAGGGACAGTACCACAGCTGTATGAACTATCAGGGGGAATGGGAATCTGACAGCTATTTACGCAAGAATATGTTAGCCACTTCGATTCTAATTATTAGATGGAGTTTCTACCTCCTGAAATTTGTTGTCTTTCTTTAATTAAAGTAAGAGAAAATTAACACTGGGGGCAAAGATAAATCATCTGAATTCTACCGCTTGACTTTTCTTGAACCATCCAATATTTGAGAAAGATGATGGAATATATGAGCCAATCTTTCATCTCATGAGAGACATTAAGGTCTTATTCTTTGTTTTTATATGATCAGGAAAAAAAAGTTTTCCTCTTCATACAAAATCCAATGTCTTTGAGTTTTTATTTAAGTGATGTCCTTTTTTAAAAAAATAAAAGATCAACTTAAATGATACTCACTTTAATGGCACTTTTGTATCTTGTAAAACTATGATTGAAGATAGATACTGTTCTTCACATTATCTAAAACCTTTTAAATAAGAAAGCCTATAATATATGTGTTCTTTTAATAACAAATCTTTCTCAAGATTAACTTTTATCCTTTCATGTATCAGACTATAATTACTATATAATTCAACAGTTCTATTTTTGCCTTACTTACCAGGAAAGTAAAAGTAGAATTCTGGCTCAACTGTAGCACTCGGTTCATTTTAGATGTAAGATAACATTAATTTCTCTGCCTCTATTAATATATTGTGTTGTAAAAAATCTTGATGGTTTTATTTTTATCTTTAATTATTTGGGTTGCCTCAATTTTTACACAATAGGTAGAATACAAAATTTAAGTAAAAATATATGTGTTAAAAAAAGAACTGTAATCAATATAGGAAACAGGAGGTATCATCTTTATTTAACTCAGTTTCCTTTTATATTCCTAAGGATGTGTGTTTTTCATACAAGCTAGAGTTCTAGGGACTTATAAGCATTTTATTGAAGGATATTTTTTGTGATGGGAAGAACTGACCAAAATGTAATGTTAAATGCTCCGTGATGACAATACAAATACTCAATTATCCTTTCCCTACTATAATGTAAATAGTATACAACAAAGCCCCTTAATAATATAATATGATGACATCAATATGAACTTGACCAAGGACAGAATTTACTACATTCGAATTTGCAAAACCTATACATAAAATAAGAGAATAATAATATTCTGGTGAATGGAAACTTTCTTTGTACTTAACAAGCTCAAATAAGTGGTTAATTGCTTAGGTGTGGAAGCACTAGTCTTCTCTTAACCTTTAATCAAAAAATAGTTTTTTAGATACAGCATTTTTAAATTTTAGGCATATCTGGCCAGACTATCCTATGAAGTAACAGAGATGGCAATAAAGTTCCTTTTAGTACACCTGATCTACAGTGAAACTGTTAAAAAACACCCAGAAGAATTGAACAATTTCCTGTAGTCCTCAATATTACTTATTTAAATGACAAATCATAAATTTTTGGAAGCAAACAAAAATCCATTCCTTTGCTCATATGCTCTCCATAAAGCTCTTTTTTTTTTCTATATATGGATTCAGTGATTTTAACACAAACCAGTTTCATGGCTGCATGGATTACTAAACTGCAAATAACAGATCTGAGTCTCTTAGTTGAGTGAATTTTGCATAAGACCAAAAACAGATATGGCTAACCAAAATTTTGAATAACCTTGAGATATTTGAGAAGAAAAATATTTTAAGAATATAAACCATAATTATATTAAATAATTTTATAAATATTGGTAGGATAGTGTATTTATCCAAAATTTTTATTTCATGAAAGAATCTCATTTAAAAAGTGATGTTTTACCAAGGATATAAAAACTATATAGAACCACATAATGTGGCCAGATCAGTGTGGATGTGTTTTTAGTTGTAGGAAGTCATTGGAAATTTTGTTTCATATTAATAGATCCTAGTTTGCTTTTACAAATACTGAGCTTTCCTCTGGGAAGGTCTGGTACTACTCCTGGAGTTTTATCTTGGCTTCAGAGTAGTCTTTAGTCTAGAGTTTGAGAACTGTGAATTTCAGTGCTTACTAACTTTGTTTCACTTCCTTCCAAATGTGTATATGTGAGATGAGGAGTATATGAGAAAGCTGTATGGCTTGCCCTGAAAACTGCTCTTATGAGTCAGAAGGTTGCTTCCTGACAATCTAGACATGCAAAATTCTAGACCTACAAAAGGCATTCAGAGTCCAAAGTCCACAAACTCTAGAACAGTCCCTTAGCCAACAACATTTTGGGGAATTCTGACCTTGCTTACTTCAACAAATAGTTAAATTTTTTGCCTCTGAGAACTGACACTGTGTGTTCAGAGAGCGCTCTTTTTCATTCTCTGACTTTTTTTAGAAATCCATTTCTACGATTAGGAATGGCTATCTTCAATCAGATTCATCATTAAAACTGGAATATTTTGGTATTTCCAAACCTCAGATGTAGTAAGTTTCTGAGACTCAGTCCTGTAGATCCCAATAGGAACATCTCCAGTAGAAGAGCACAGCTTCTGGTAAAGTCTGGCATAAGTTCTGATCCACAGGTCTTCCTCAGTGATTTTCATCTATTAGATACACATCATTAAAAAAAAAAAAAAAAACAACCTCAGGTTATTTTTCACTTTTTAGAGGCTAAAGGTACAAATATTTCAAAATCTCAAAATGACATTTCATAAGTGCTTATGCATGGACTGAACTTATTTATGGCACTCCACATTAGGTTAGCCCTGGGGTTCCACAAACTTGAGAAGACCAACTACTCAATTTGTGGCAGCACGGCATCGTATTAGTTCAACATCAGTAGACAGTAGTCACTGGTAATTGAGAGACATTGGGAAAGAGGTGTAGACTTTTTTGAACGTTGCAATGACTACAGATGCTACTGGAATTAGCGGGCAGGGTCTGCTGATGCTATAGATCTTCAAATGAAAAAGACACTCCATCGCAAAAAGAAATTGTCCATCTGAAGTCCTAATAATGCTCATCTGGAGAAAAGGGTATAACAAAGTGAGCCCAGGGCTCCCAGACAGAGGCATAAGTACTAGTTCCTCTTCGCTGTTCCCAAATCTGTATTGTTGGCAAGTTGCTTCCCTGAATAAATACTTGAATAAACTATATTCATTTAAAAAAAAATAAAGGGGGGGGGTAAACTTAATGGTCACTGTTTTCCTCAGCAGCAAGGCATCCTATGTCAGAAACCATCAGTCTCAAATGCCAGTTGGAAAAAAACACGTGTTCTGAATTTTGTATAGAATTGCTGTTTTCATGAATAATTTAAAATGTTTTCCCTGAAAAATTTTTAAGGAACTAAAAAAACTTGAGGATATTCTCTGAGCACATATTACCCAAAATGCATTATAGATGGATTTCAGAAACATCTATTAGAACAATTCTATTCCAGAGAATATTAACTTACAGAACAAAGAAACCCTGATCCTGGAGTAGTGTCCAATCCCAACAGAAGTCTGGTGATAGAAATCATATAATCCTTTACAAATGACTGCAAAACAAACAACATACATATTTATTATGTGCATGAAATGTACAGAATAGCTCAGTGAGAACATCTTACCATTTCTAAAAGTTTACTTCTCATAACACATCATTAAACCCCCCTAAAAAAGGAAGTAAAAATCTATCCTGTCAGTATCTTAAATACACAAGTACAGGTAAGCTGTCCACGAAGAAATATGGAGAATAAGTATTCATTAGACTATCCTGACATGCTTAAGTTTTATGTACTATTAGACATGATAAAATAGATTTTAATTAATTTTTAATAACAAAAATCTATGAGCTAAAATAGAGAATATTAAAAAAAAACTTGAACTCTAAAATTTGCAAGGAGATATTCCAAAAGTTTTTAGGATTAAGGTCTTTGCTACTAGAATAAATTTCTAATATTTCAGTAAATCTAAATATTAATGAATTAATAATTTAGTATTAAATACCAGTATCAGACTACTTGATGTGTTAGCGTGTAAGGTTTAATTTGATATATTGCTAGAACATTGCTCAACAGAGTATTAAGTTAACAATGTTTTCAATTTCTTAAACTTATTCTTAGTTCTGAGTGAAAAGAAAAACTTTCAACAGATACAAGCACATTTCACCATGACATATAATAATTATTTTATAGATTGTATGAAATGATTGTCTTGAATTTAATCCACAAGTGTTAAAAAATGAAAAATTTGAATATTCATCTAGTTATTTTGCAAAGTAAAGTTTTTTTTTAAGTTATAATACCTTTTAAATAAATTTACTAGGCTAACTTTGTTCATTACCATTCTACCAACAGCTAGCATCAGAAAATTAAACCCTGCCATTTAAACAAGAACAAAGGAACCATATCCATTCCCTTTTCTCAGGCCAAAGAAATGGAAGTTTTGTTTTGAGGTGGGTTAGTGTCCTGGTAGTTATACCATGAACCAACTGGAGGCCAACAAGAGCAGTGGTGACACGCACCCTTCAACTTCACTTGTAATCCAGTGTGTGCTAAAGAAGAGGACTTTTTAAGCACATTCTCAGACACTGAAAACTATTTCCCAAAATGAAAAATTGAAAGTACTCATGGGGGAAAAAAGTCCACTAAAGATTTGGTAAATGGCTATTATAAATTATTTTTGAGCTGGATGTGGTTATACTGCTGATTTGCTTGCTGCATTTGTCACTAATGCATCCCTTGTCTAGAAGTCATTTGTCCTGTAACTTCATTAGGGCAAAGACAAGGGGTACAAGAGAGCCAAAATGACAGGACAGCCCCACCTGCTATTACAAAATCTGTGCACTCAATCTCATGGAATTTGATGACAGAAGGATCTTTCTCAGTTTCACTTAGTAATTATTTAATTGTATTTTATCATTTTATTTTATTTTATTTTCAAGATTTTATTTTTTTATTTATTTGAGAGAGAGAGTATGAGTGGGGTAAGGGACAAAGGAAGAGAGAGAAGCAAGCTTCCAGCTGACCAGGGAACCTCATGTTGGGCTCGATCCCAGGACCCTGAGATGAAGGCAGACACTTAATCAAATGAGCCATACAGGTGCCCCTATTTCATTGTATTTTAGACAATACTTTTTTTCACCCCCTCCACCTCTCCTCAGATTATACTTATTTTTTAATCATTGGCTTTCTAGCTCCATGAAGATGAAAATCGAGAAAATCATTAAAAATATGAAAGTGATCTGTGATTCAAGTGGGAAGGAGAAAAGGGACTATGGACAAGATGTTAATAAAGAAAAACAACCTTCTGGTAAGTTAAAAAAAAAAAAAAAGTACCATAACGTGGATTTATTTGCCACAGGGATAGGGTAGTGAGTAATCGAAATGAGATGTGCATGGTCTAAAGATGAGAGTTCACAGTAACTACTGGATAGTTTTTCTTTCTGAGCCTTTGTGTCTTGTCTACATATTGGGATTGATAATACTGCCTACATCATCAGTTTCTTTGAGGAAGCACATAATATGATGTCTAGGATAGAATTGCATTAATAGTAAGTCACTGTACAATTGTAGACATTAATAATAGTTCTTAAATATATAAACACTTACCCTCGAGAACATGGGTTCAAATCACTAACCAAAAAACTTAGATGGCATTTAGTTTAGAATATATGCATACTTATTATATGAATTTAGGATTTATATATCTGATTTCTAATATTCATTTTTAATCAATAAATGAGTATTCTATCTCATCTGAAAAAAATGAACCATAACATATCTGATGTCAGGCAAAGCCAAACAGGCAATTTGAAAGTTACTGTTCTGCTTCACCCTTTCTGTAGTAGCTTCAGAAAACACCTAACTTCCTGTATGCGTATTTACAACAAAAAACATAAGATAAAAATGAAGAGAAAGGAATAACTACTGCTTTCTACTTCTGTAGAACAATTTCCCTTTTATTTAGTCCATCTATTAGACTTTCTCACGAGATTTGATTTAAACATAAGATTCCAGGGCTAAAAAATCTGAAAACCACTGGTGCATAATGACATGAAGCATTTGACTGCTACTGACAGAAAATCTTCAGTTTCAGCATTGTTCTTCAAACAGTTCCTCCCCTCCAATCCCCTAAGAGATCAGAAGGATGTGTGTGGTAATGGAGTGTGGGCGTGGAAGCCCCCTCTTGGAGTGCCCAGAGAATGTGTCTGGAAAGTTTAGGGTGAATAGGAGTGCTCATTCTCCTTTGTTGTGCTTGTTCCTCCTCTCATCTGGCATAAGCAGATGGTTTGTGACGTTGCTAGAGGCATATTCATGGGCATAATTAGCCCCAAGGCCAGCAGAAAAGCTTTAACCATGTTCAGATGAGTTTATTCAGTCAAGCATTGCAGAAGAGGCTACATAAAATACACAATCCAAAAGAAAATACCATAACAAAATGTTTGAATGCTTTATTTGAGATTAAAGTTATCAAATAACTTAAAGCTCCATGAATATCTGTTTTCTCTTAATAGAAATATTTATAAATTGTCTGATTACTTGAATCCGAGAATATGAGATATTAGTGCTGTTCAGTATCTGGTAGAGTTTAAAAAAAGATTAAAATATATTGGTGCAAAATAATATCTCTATACAGTTCTTAGCTATGATCAAATGACCATCCAAACTAAATGGTTCTTAGTTGTTGCAAAATCTTTTTTATATTTTTTCTAAAGTAGGCGGTCATTAGTGGATATTTAAAATGTCCTTGGTTTGTCAGTTTATTGACATCATTTTGGTGTCTCTTTTTTTTGAAAATGTGCATTATGAAGAAGATTGTCTTTTTTTAAATATATTTTGCTCTTACCTTCTCTTTTTACTCTGGTAATATTCTTAACAAAAATGTAAGCAAAATGTACTCAAATGTCACAAAAACACTGTAGGACACTGATACTAAAGAATGGTTAAAAATTATTTGATAACTCTGAAAAATATTGTTTTCCTTACACAATGTTTCACAGGTACATTTGTCATTGAATACACAAAATAAAACTCTGAAGTACTTCCAGGGCCCGTTATAAGTTAACCACTCCATGAGAAATACTTGATGTATTATTCATTTAATAAAATTGAAATGAAATTAGAATAAACATTTTAGAGAGAAAAAAGAAACACTGCATACCTGATAAAGAAGAGTGTCCAACATACTGATGCTAAACACCCTCCCAGCAGCAAAAGGCAGTCGAAACATAAAGGCCAAATTAGAACCTTTCTCTCGTTCTTTCTGTTCAGAAATTTGAAATAGAAAAATTTGTGAGATTATATTTTATGCTTTCCTGCTTAAGTTTTCCTGATGCATGTGAAGGAGATATTTTCATTATACAGTTGTTAGCTATGAATGGGCATTTCTTTATACATTGTAGTATAATACAGCAATATAGCTGTATTTTTAATATTTCTTTTTAATATTTATAACCAAGTTTTCTTAATCAATGAAAATACCCAATAACTGAGGAAAGTTAATCCTCTCCTGCACTAAACATGTATTTACTCTTTTTAAAAAAGTTTTTATTTAAATTCCAGTTAGTGAACATACAGTGAAATATTAACTTCACGTACAGAGTTTAGTGATTCAACACCTGCATACAAGATCCAGTGCTCTTCACAGCAGGTGCCCTCTTTAATCCCCATCATCTACTTAACCACCCCCCCCACCTCCCCTCTGGTAACCATCAGTTTGTTCTCCATCGTTAGGAGTATTTACTCTTCATAAATATTTCTGCAAAGGACTTGAGGTAATACAACAAAAAGAACAAACACAGTAAAAGCATTTAATAAGATGTAAACAAAAACAAAACAAAACAAAAACCAAAGCCTAAAGCCACGTAATATATCCTAACACCTGGGAGTTTTGCTTTTGAATATTCTCATATGTGAAGGCACAAAACTAGGCAAGTAGGAGCCACCACATCCAGGGGTTTCCAACTTTCTGTCATGTGAGTTTTCATCTCACTAAATGCCTTTTAAAATGTACCAGCAACACCAAATTGCAACTGCAACTATACTCTGTAAATGCCTAGAAAAAGAGACAAAGGAAAGAAACAGCATATGTGCATACCGCAGTGTATGGGAGTTCTTCTGAAAAATTCTGTTGCTATTATCTTCCCTTAATAAATGAAGACATGAGAGCTAATGTTTGTCAAAGATTGTAAGGAGTTTCTTAAGAATCCAAATTAATCCTGCACTTAGCAAACAGTAATCTCAAAATGCTGGTTTTATTTGTTGCCAAGTTTACTTGGAAAGATAGATACAGCAAAGCAAATTAAAAAAAAAAAAATCAGTCTTTGCCCTTTGAGGCAATGGAAGGAAACTCTTGTTTCTCATGTAGCAAATTTCGAGGCTCCTCCAGGGAAGGAAAGCCTCCCATACACAGAGTTTAAAACTGTGTGCCAAAATGTATTACTCAAGGAATGAAAGAGGGCTACTGCTATTGCTTCCCGTGAAGGCACAGGGTGACCTGACCCCCAGGCATCCCCTGGACAAACTAGTTGGGACACAGACTCAGCCCTTCCAAGTAGCAAGAGGAGTTACTCCACCACATCCAACACATTCATGTAGTTGAGAAGACTGTCTAGACTATAAAAATATCCTCACTTGAGACAGTAGGGAGAGGCTAAAGGGTAAAATAAGCATGTGGTGTCCCAATCTTTGTCTGTTTCCATTCTATCATAGTATATTCTCTAATTTGGGAGCCTAGGTGTCAAGAATACTTAGTTTGAAAGCACACGTAGGTCGTTTGTAGATGACTTCTCCGTTCTTCCCCAGCATGGACTTTGTTGAGTCAGATTGGCTGTCTGGTAATAATACTAAAATTCTTTCCCCAGATTCAGGTTCCACATCAGCATGGATAACATTCTCATCTTAGAGAATTCACTGTTCTTAATATCAGTTCTGCAAGTCCTCCTCACTTTCTAAATGTTTAGTAAGCTTCACACCCTCGGAAAACCCTTTCATACCCAGAAATGCTGTTCTGCTTATGTGAATAATTCTGCATTTGTGATTAAATCTATTTTTATTATTAATTTTCCTTACAGGAGAGAAAAAACACCGAAGATTTTACAACGCTATTTTCAAGACCTACTAGTTTTAAAGTTACCCTAAAAAGTAAGAGCTCAAGTAGCTCATTCCAGCCCAATGAGAATACATTCTACAGTTTCTTTACTTCTAGATGATGAAGAAGTTGGATTAATTCCTTAAACTGCACTTTATAAGTGCTATTTTTATATATGGGGAATAAAAAAAGAACTAGAGATGACTAATACTTAGTCTTACCATCCATTCCAATGTGATATTGTGACAAAATCATTTAGCTACCTCTCTGTATCACAAAGGCAACATGCCAGCTAGAAGTTTTATACATTGGCAGTAAAGAGTCCAGATCATAAACTACAGAGGAATTACATTTGGCCTGCAAAGATTTACAGAGGTCTAACAAGTGCCAACACTTAACATAAAAGTCTAAATTTCTGATTCCTTTTAAATTTGGAAAATCTGATATCAGAGGTCATATCAACAACTGGCCAGAACTGAAAGCATCTGCTTTCTATGAGATTCATTCTTTCATACATATGATTCATTTTATTTATCCGTGTCACCTAATTGCATGGTCAGGCTCTTGATTTCCACTTTGGAAGATAAGATACTTGTTGGAAATGAGTCCAGGGATCTGCTGGCTCACATCTTGTTTAAATAGTGACTTATGTCAGAAATAACACAGTAAACGAATAGCACATTTACAATGTGTGTTAAATTAAGAAAAAAAAAATAGAGGGATGCTTTGGCTACAGAATATTCCCATGGTTTTGGGAAAAATGAAGCTGTGTAATCAACAGACACTTTTCCATTAACTGTTATATATCAGGCACTGAGCAAGGTTGGTAGAATGCAGAGGTAATTAACAAAAGATCCCAGTTTGGCAGGTATTCAGTTTTACTTAATAGAAAGGCTTAAAATCAAATATCTACAAAGCCATGTGTTGTGAGCCCATAGAAGTCCAAGTATTAAGGAAACCTAAAGAGGATGGGGAATGGTGAAATGACATCACAGCTGAGCCTTAAAAAAAGGTTTTGCCAAATAGGAAGCAACCTTGCATTCTAGGTGCAGGATCTTATTTTTTTCTTTTCTATAGAATAAGAGATTTAAAACATTTACACTTTTACTTGGTTCGGTTTGGAGAAAAACAAGCCACTACTCTTTTTTGGTGCTTTTATAAAACTATAAAACAAAATATGTGTATTTACTTTTTAAAAATAAAGGTAAGTTCTGTACTATTTAATGATCTTCAGAAGTTGTGACTCATAAAACACAACTATAATTCTAAAAATTATTAAAACAGACTAAATCAACCATAGTTGCCACGATGAAGGAAGGCCTGAAAAGCAAAACAGCTGGTGAAATGCTGGTACCTCACTGAAAAGAGATAAAGAATTAGAACTAACCAAACTGTCTGCAGAAGCAGTTGGCAGTCCAAACTGGGGGAAATTTTGGAATAGAAATAGAAAATAGTTAGAAAACAATACTGAAACATAATAATTAAAGGAGAAAATCCACTGTGTTTGACTAGGTTATCAGTGTAGACGTGACGTTTTGAGTGGTACTTGAAAAAACAGTTTGCTTTACCTTCATTAAGAATACAAGTATCATTCAAGAGACTAGTTTTAAGTAAGGAGGCCTATGAGTTTAAAGGTAATACCTAAATATACCCAAGTCCTTAGAAGATAAACAAAGGGTACATACATTTCTTGTGGAAGTTTTATGACATGAAGGGTCGTTGATGAAAACTATGTCATGATTTTGAAAAACTAACAGCTGTCCAAATGAATGACTCACAGCTGAGTCTAGACTATTTTTTTGGTTTTCAGACTACTTCCAAAGGATTGTTGCATATGTCATGCTCTTAAAAAACTGATTGGGGGGAACACCTGGGTGGCTCAGTCAGTTAAGTATCCAACTCTCGATTTCAGCTCAGGTCATGATCTTGGGGTTGTGAGATGGAGTCCTACACTGGTTCATAGGCAGCCATCTTCTCCCTGTGCCCTCACATGGTGGAGGATTCTCTGGGGTCTCTTTTATAAAAGCACTAATCCCAGTCATGAGGGCTCCACCTTCATGACCTACTCAACTCCCAAGGGCCCCACTTCCTAACATTATCACCTCAGGGCCTAGGTTTCAACATATGAATTTTGGGGAGGGACACAAACCTTCAGCCTATGGCAACTCTGGACATATTGTATGAAATCATAATACTGCACATTCTTAATAGATAAATTTAAATATTAAAATAATTATCCACATAAATAACATTTTATCACTCCTCTAGAGTGTATCAGGTAATGCTTTTCCACATTTAAAAGAAATAGAAACTAATATCAATATTCTCTTCAAATTCTTTCTGGACAGCCATGGTAAAATGGTAAATATTTTCTTAAAAATGGAATAAAAAGTGTCCTAATAAATCAAATCCAGTGTAGGCAGATAGCAACAAACTTCCATTCAGCTATTCTAATACTTTGATTATGAATAAAAAGTAGTCCAACTTGTTTGGACAGAAAAAAGTAAGGTCATGTGTTTTTGTTTGTCCCTATATATCTATACCTCCCATCAAATTATTCCATGTATTTATTCTGTTGGTAACTGCTAGCATTAAACAAGGTATCTGGGTCATAACAGGTGCTCAGTAAATATTTACTAGTTTGAATTTAAATTGAGAATATATAAAATTTGCTACTTGCTTACACAATGAATATATCAAAAAATAAATCTGAGTCTCATTTATTTCTCCCAGATGCAGTCTTCAATGTTTATTATTTTGCTCTATCATTGACTTCAAAGTGATGTGATTTACAGACGTGACTCTTGGCATTCTGACACCAATTCTTTGAAACCAACTGGATATCCTACAATTCAATTCAATCATGACACTACCCAGAGATGACTCCGACCCCACAGGCTAAGGGGGGGTCAATCCCATGAGATGACTCCCATCTCAGACATCACCCACAAGTCCCAGATATCTCCAAGACAACTGTTCAGCCTGGGGGCGTCCCACAACTCCTTTTAGTTTTGATAATTTGCTAGAATGTTCACAGAACTCATGAAAATGCTATACTTAAGGATTATCATTTTATTATAAAGAATAAACATAAATGGCAAATAAAAAGTTACATAGGGCAAGTCCGAAAGGATCCTGAGCACAGGAGCTCCTGTCTCCATGAAGTCAGGGCG